CAAAACGATAAAATAAACAAGTATTTTATTACATGCAGGGCTGGATTAACATAGCAAATGCTCTTGCTGCTTCAGTCTCTCTAACACTGTGGCATGTTTCCTTTCTTCTACACTCACTACATATACCTTTCCTCTGTCCCATACTGTGTAACAGGAGCATCTGCCTGCTAGTAAGAAGGTTAGCAGAGGAGTAGATCAGCATGTGCTAGGGGACAGTGCTTAGAAAGCGTAGTTAGCGTATCATTAGATGCATTTATGTCACGCTCAGGGTGCTGTCTGCACAGTATGCCCTTGGTTGGTCATACTTCACGATTGACAGGCAGCCTGACATGCATTCACACAAGGCTGACCATCTATTTTTTTGTGCAGACATGCCCCCTTTTTGGGTATGTTTGACCCTTTGGGCGGTCCTGGTTACGTGATTCACATCAGTGGCCCACCCTTTTACCACGCCCACCGAAATCCTGCTTCACCGGACACTGCTGTTAGGGGGTATGGATATACTTGAAAGATGAAAGAAATTGTTGTTGCAATGGGGTACATTCGGGAACACCCCTTGTTCGGGAACTTTATCTGTCACAAACTGTCTGGACAGCGCATCTGCAAATGTAGATTTTAACTTCTCAAATGTCTCTTTTGCTTCCTTCGACCAAGAATTACAGTTAGCTCCTTTTTGGGTAAGGTTGGTGATAGGAGCTATCACAGACGAGAAACCTTTACTGAATTTGCAATAGGCCTTTGGGTAACGGCCATTGTAATACTGCTTCCAGTTTGCATGGATCCATCTTGAAACCAGAGGGGGATATAACATACCCAAGAAATTGCATTTTGGTCTGGTCAAACTGGCACGTTTCTAGCTTGCATTATAAGTCATTCGTCAGCAGGGTCTTTAACACTGTTTTAACATGTTCATGATGGGTACACAGGTCTGGAGAATAGATATGAATATCATCTAGGTACACCAACATGAACGTTCAGAGGTTTTCTCTGAGGACATCATTTATAAAGTCTTGGAATACTGCTGGGGCATTGCATAAACCAAACGGCATGACTAGGTACTCATAATGTCCTATTCTGGTATTGAACGCTGACTTCCACTCATGTCCCTCCTTAATTCTGACTAAGTTATAAGCGCTCCTATGGTCGAGTTTGGTAAATACTCTGGCACCTTTAAGCCTGTCGAATAGTTCAGAAATAAGGGGTATTGGGTAGGCGTTCTTAATTGTTATTTTATTAAGACCCCTATAGTGAATGCAAGGGCGTAGGTCTCCTTTTTTAGAGATGAAGAAGAACCCATCCCCAGCAGGAGAAGAGGATCACCATATGTGGCCCTTCCTTAGAGCTTGCTTTATATACTCCTCCAAGCAGAGGGTTTCTTGAGGAGACCGCGCATAAACACCCCCTTTAGAAGGCATAGTACCCGGTAGCAGATTAATAGCACAGTCATAAGGTCTGTGCGGTGGTAATGTCTCTGATTGAATTTTATTAAAGAACTCTTTTACCTCCAGATATTGAGGTGGAATTTCTGTGGTCAAGGGAGGTGCAGTAGGTACAATGATGGTGCAAAAATGTTGTGGCATGAGATTCTTACAATGACCCTTGACATCCTCTCCCCAACCCACAATCTCTCCTTTACTCCAATCTAGACAATGATTGTGTCTCTGAAGCCAAGGGAAACAAAGTATTACAGGGCAGGAAGGGGAAGAAATAATCTGAAAAACCATTTCCTCAGAATGTAGAATGCCTACCGAGACAGTGATGGGTGATGTCTCCTGAGTTATGAGAAATTGTGCAAGGGGTCTACCTGCAATGGCCTCAACTGCAATGGGTTTATCTCTCTGCCGTAGTGGCAAGTGATGTTTGGCAGAGAATTCTCTATCAAGGAAATCTTCCGCTGCCCCAGAGTCGATCATGGCCTCACACTGAACAGTAGTTCTCTTATAGTGCAGAGTAACCTTCACAAGGAAACGGTACTTAGTTACTTTGTGGGGACATATACATCACACCTAAGGTCGGTCTCCAAACGTACCTTAGGTGCACAAGTTTTCCGGATGGGCAGGACATAAGACCCTTAGATGACCTTTCTTCCCACAATAAAGACACAACCCCTCGTTTCGTCTATGCTGTCTTTCTGCCTCTGTAAGCTTAGTTATACCCAATTGCATGGGTTCAGCCTCTGGAATTGGAGAAGGGTTAGCTACCACTGGGTTGGAAAAAAAAGGGACTATCGATAGGTTAGCACGCCTCATATGTTGCTTGTTTCTCTCTCTATCTCCCAATCTATTATCACTGTTAATCATACAAGCTATGAATTCATTGAGATTGATAGGCGCTGCGAAAAGGCGCCAACCAGACCACTGTTAGTCCAGTCCACTTCAGAGGCTAAGGTCCTAAATCCTATATGGTAGTCAGCCAAAGAATGATTAACTTGTATAATTCTCATCAAGGCTTTGGCTGCATTTTTCTCTCTGTGCATAGGTTCAAAGGTTGCTTTGAATTTGGCTAAGAACTTGCTGTAATTACAGCAATGAAATTGCCACTCTCCCATAAAGGGTTGGCCCAGGTTAAAGCCTTACCCATTAGGTGTTTCATAATAAAGCCAATATTTGACCTATCTGTTGGGAAGGAGCCAGGAGAAGCTTCAAAGTGATATTCAATAGGAAACCCCTAAACTCCTTGGGATCACCTCCAAAACGAGAGGCAGGAGAAAGAGTTATGAATGGAGGTTTGTACACTGCAGGTACAGGAGGTGGAGCTACCAGTTGTAGCGGAGGCGCCTTAAGGTATGCCGTTCTCTGGAGCAAGGTATGGAATGCTTGGGCAAATTAGTCTAGCCTGTGATCCATATCCTCCACCCTGTTTTCACAGGCTATCATATGCCTGCATAGTTCTGCAGGATCCTTGTCCGTGTTGTAATGTCACGGAAGCTAGTGTTGTCCAACATGCAGAACTATGTAACATCTACATATAGATAGAACATAAACCAGTCCTTAGAATGGCCGGACTAATACGTTAAAGACAGAGAATGGTCAAGGAAGCCAGAAATACACAATATTGTTTAACAAGCCAAGTCAGGAAAACCAGAAATCAGAATAGTCAGGAATAGCCAAGGTCAAAATACCGGGAATACTAATAATAAGACAAAAAAACACACTCTTGGGAACCAGGAACTGAAACCATGACAGAACAATGAACTAGGGAACTTCAGGGATTTAAATATCCCTCCTTTTGCTGTGATTGGTCAGAGCGTGACCTCTGACCCCAGAACGTGCATGTATGTCGACATCGTGACGTCACACGCATGTTAATGTGACCCTGTGGGGGGCGGTTATAAATGGGCGCGACCACGTTGTCGCTGGTGAGCATTTAAGCTCAGCTTGACAGCGCGGTGGTGCGACCTTGTGCAGCTGGGAGCCGTGACAACTACAGACAAGCTCACTAACACACACATGCTCACTACAGATAAGTTCACTGACACACATTCAAGCTCACTCACTAGCAGGCACACACACACACAAGCTCACTCACTAGCATGCACACACAGACAGAAGCTCACTCACTAGCAGGCACACACACATACACACACAAGTTCACTCACTAGCAGGCACACACACACGCTAACTCACTAGCAGGCACACACACACACATAAGCTCACTCACAAGCAGACACACACATATACACATACATGCAAGCTCACTCACTAGCAGGCACACATGCATGCTCACTAGCAGGTGCACGCACACACATAAGCTCACTCACTAGCAGGAGCGCACACACACAAGCTCACTCACTAGCAGACATAGATGCAAGCTCACTCACTAGCAGGTACACACACACAGACAAGCTCACTCACTAGCAGGCACACACACACACTTTCTCACTAGCAGGCACACACACACAATCACTGTCATAGCTAAAGCTTACCTGGCACTGGTAGGTAAGTTACCATTTTGTGGCCTCTTCCTTCCAGCGAGGTCACCAATGTGCAAGGGTGGGGCTTGTGTGCGGGAGGCGGAGCTATCTTTGGGAGGTGGGGCTTGTGTGTGGGAGCGGGGGATGCAGCTGAAATCTATGTCTATTTTGAAAGGAGACTGAGAGGTCTCCCTCCAGCAGCCTAATTGTAACTGCACTAGCCCCCAGCTCTTCCCTCATTACTCCCCTCGGACTGACATAGGCTGGTACAGTCCGAGGGGAAAACATTTAAATTACATGAGTCTGATGATCAGGGCTGTCAGCGCGGCCCACCAGGAAATTTCCAGCTATCCCGGTGGGCCAGTGCGGCCCTGCTCTTAATCTAGCCCTGATTACATGACTCATGCCTGTGCAACTGCTTAAAAAGTGATGTATAGGCAAATGCATACTTGGAAATATCTACCATAGTGCCTGCATGGACAGCCCTATAGTGGTCAATTTAAGCCAAGGGTTTTGTCTTTGTTTCTTTCTTATAACTGATGGTTGGCCATTTGGCTGCACTTATTTAGATTAGTGACAGATACTTTTACAAGCTATTATTGGCAGGATTTCAGTGTTTCAAGGAGACAAAGTCCGAAATACAGATTCTTGATGTCATGTTGCCATCCACCATCACCAGCTCAAGTATGGTCGTGATCCTTGTGTGAAATAAAAAAATAAATAAATAATAATAATAATAAACTATTCTGAAAAGCAAACAATCTATATTGTAAAATATTGTAATGCATTTTTTTGTTTCCACGTATCAGCAATATGGTTACATAAGCTTTTTGACTCAATTTCCTTTTTGGCTTTCCACTCTTTCACAACATGTGAAATTAATTAATGGCCCAGTGTTGTTTTGTTTTGTTTTTTTGCTTAAAGTTGTTATGCATTATAACCTCTACAACTCATTTTGATTGCTATGGTGGCATAGTTGCATACAAATAGCCAAGCAACCTTTCAGCCACATTGACAATACTGAACCTACATTTCTGCATTATTAAATGCAATTCCCTCCAAGGAATGATGCACTGAGCGTGCAGCGATGGGTAAGAATCAGTCACTAAAATGAGCTGTTGCGATTTGCTCCTCTGAGTGCCCCTTTAAAGATGATATGTGTAAATATGATGTTACCTTGTATTTTGTGGGAAAAAAAACAACCCTCTTAAATATAATCTGTTTGAAATGTAATAATTTGTCACCTTTGCCCCCCCTAACTTTCCTTCTTAAAGCATTCCAGCAATTTGTTCTGTAAAGTAGTATAATACATATATTATAATATAATGTATGCAATATTTCTGGTGTTCATATAGCAATAATTAGATATTCCTTATTTGGTGATATTGTTTGTATTTAAAAACAGTATTGTCAGGCTCATGGCCATGTGAGTGGTTCTAATTATTGTCAACTTTTTTGAAATGTCCAAGTCCAACACGTCTGCACTATATTAAGAAGTTGCATGTTTTATTTATTTACTGTTTGTTGTAAGCGCTCCACTATTTATAAAGGCCTAACTTTTCACTTTTCAGTACTCTAGTTAGCTTTCATGATTCTCCTATACTGTAAAACAGTAGTTCAGCTTGATTTACATTACTCACTAATTATATCGGAGATGACCGATAACCTTTTCCTTTTATTTTTTGTTTTTGTTTTTCAGGAGTCACAATGCTGATGAATACTGTAGTCCAATATACAACAGTTTCAGGTCGAGTGAGGACACAGAATGCTGTGGCTACTAGATGTTTAAAACATAACTCTATACGGACAATAATGTCTGACAATCCAACTAGTGACAGTACATCTAATGCTGTGGAGTTACTTGGTCAACTTTACCCCCGTGATGAGTATACCAATGTCACAAGTAAAATCCTATCTAAAGTTGGGAAGAACTTGCACAACCAGCAGTATCATCCATTGTGGCTGATCAAAGAGAGAATAAAGGAACATTTCTATAAGCAGTACACTGGGCGCTTTGGAAATCCACTCTTTTCAGTCTATGATGATCTGAGTCCTGTTGTCACCACAAAACAGAACTTTGACAGTTTACTCATCCCGTCAGACCACCCTTGCAGGAAAATAGGAGACAATTACTATTTGAATTGTTCACATATGCTCCGTGCTCATACCTCGGCCCATCAGTGGGATTTGGTACATTCAGGACTGGATGCGTTCCTAGCCGTAGGTGACGTGTATCGTCGTGATCAGATTGACAAGAGTCATTACCCAGTGTTTCATCAGATGGAAGGCGTATGTTTGTTCTCAAACCACGAGGTGAAATATAGTACCCACTAACCTTCTGCATTGTTTAATTTACTTTTTTGTATTTGGTCAGAAGGTGGCTTTCTATTAGGGGTACTTTACTAGAAAATGATTGAGTAACAAAGTATCAAAGTAGTAAAATTATAAATGAAGGTTGAGTGATTGTACATTTTTTCTATTTATGTTTAAATTAACCCCAGAGTGAATTTGTCACCATTGAACAAGTTGCAATGTTTTTAATTGTTAATAGTTGGCTAGTGTTTTAAAGGAACACTCCAAGCACCATATCCACTACAGTTTGCTGTAGTTGTTGTAGTGCCTGGTGCCCCAACTGTTAGTAGTCAAACTGGTCAGAAACGGCTTGAGTACTTATAATGAAGGTCTACCAGGGCATGCCTGGAATCATAACCACTACAGTGAACTGTAGTTTTTATGGTACTTGGAGTGTTCCTTTAATTATGTTGTGTCATTTGCTTTTAAAGGAATAGTCCAAGCACCATAACAGATTACTGTAGTGGTTATGGTGCCAATATCGCCGTGACTCTATTCTCTGGTAAACGCCAGATTGTTTTAGTATGGTGTTACAGCTTATCTGGGTCCCTCTAGGTAACCCCTGCTGTATCTGGTCTTCTGCAGCAGGAGAATCTGGGTATCACTACCGAGAATTCTGTAGGGCAACAATCACTGGCCGAGAGTATCAGCTGCTATGAGCATGGTACTTCATCTGCTTGCTGTGCTCTGTAGAGCAATCCAGCTTCCCATGAGTAATGTGGGTCTATGAGTGTTTTTTTTTTTTCCCAGGTCTGTGTTTCACTCCCAATGTTGTATTTCCTTTAGACAACAGCTGCACTTTAATGACATTTGCTTCTGTGTGTCATCTTTCCAATACAATCTCTGCAAATCTCTAATCTTATCAGCAACAGACTTTTCATTCCTTATATGAACTATTTTATCACCAGGTAAACCCTGCATCGTAGGATTTCTTATCAAATAATAATTTTTGTTTTTGTATACCATGCTGCATTTTTCTGCATCCCTGCTTCTGCTGGACAAGGACAACGCTGTTTCCTCCATGTCAAGCTAGTTTCTCAGTCAGAAACAGCATCTGTGGTCATTTGCACAGGTCAACCATTCATGGTGGATATTTATCCACAGGAGATAGAAACAAATACATTGGAGATGGAAGAGGAAATGGCAGAAGTTAAGAAAGGGAAGCCAACATGCCACATGCACCAGGGTGCTTACAATAAATACAGAATGCAAAAGGCATATGATGACAGCCTGTTATCTGCTGCCCAACAATACATTGCATACCTCTTAAGAGTCCTAATTATGGCCCAAAGCCCTCTGTCCCTCTTTTCTATCCCAATGTCCCTCTTTTCTAGGAGCTCCATCTTGTATAAGCTCCATCCGTGTATAAGAGTGTTCCACAGCAATAATACTTACAGTAATTTGTATTTTAACCTATAGTAAATATGTTTAGGAATCTTGTTCTAACTTCCATTTTAGTTGCATAAATTGTCATCTTGGTTTTTTTTTTTTTTTTTCTGAACTGCCCCGTCCCTGGCCACACCCCCACTTACACCCCTACAAATAAGTTCCCCTCTTTGTCCATACAAGATGTTGGGAGATATACTACTGTGCTTATGGAAAAGCAAAGTTTAGCTGAGAATTACTTTGAGTGGTTATAAAAACTGCTGAACATATTTAAAAATATATATATATATATTTATATCCATTTCATTAGTAGTTTTTAAAATTCTATAATATGGCCTGTAGCCACTTTCTGACAACAGGTCCCCTTTATTATTTCAAGAGCAGCTGGATTCTCACTGAATCTAAATAGTTTTTGATCAAATGCAGTAGAACTGCTGCCTCAGTGGCAGAAAAACTCAGAAAGCTTCAATTAGGAGATTCAAATTATAAAATGTTCTAAAGAAGGAGCTTTTATTTGCCCAGTGCTTATTATTTAATTGGTTTGTGCTATTCCCATGAACACCACATTTGTTTTAATAAATTGATTTGAATCTCACCTGAATGCAACATTTTACTAAATTACATCCCTAGTTTTTACTACAGATCTTTAAAAAGTGAATTTTCTGTGACGGATACTAATAAGAGGGGCAGCTAAACTAAAAATATGCCTGGAACAAAGAAAAAAGCCTAAGAATGAGAGCGCATTAACATAAATGTATCCCATCTTCACACAAAAACGTTGGTGCACCAAACAGAAAAGCATGTTTTGATTAGGCCTTATCCATGAGTATAGTCATACTTAAGTGAGTTCAGTATCTCCCATAGCAGGAAAGTTCACTTGTACATGTAATTACAGTGATCTTTCAGAGGTTCAGTAAGGGCATAAAAGAGACCCCTAATATCAGTGTTCTTTCTTCCTACTATTGATGTCATTCAGCCCAGACTCTGTTGCAGGACGCATGCATGGAGGTTTTGTAGCACAGTTCCATGTTGGAGATTGTGTATCACAGCTCCATGTTTTGGTAGTAGGTTCTATGGACCCCCCAATTGGCACAGTTTTGACCAATTTAGGATTTTATTCTTCTGTTCCACCATCCCAGGTTTGTTCCCTGGTGTCCCACATATAGTGACACCAGAAACTGTCCCAAAAAAACATAGCACAAGGGCATCATTAGACAGGCTCGCACAATGCTCACACAATGGTGTCCTGTAGAGAGCACTGAAAGAGTGCTCCCTACATAGTCTGACCGCAGTGGGCTGGTCTGTGTGACTGGCAGGCAGCCTGGTGTGCATTCATGCCAGGCTGACTTGCCACTTTGGCGGTTCCAGTCAAGTGATTTGCATCACTGGCCCACCCTTTTATCTTACCCAATTCATTAGACGCTAATGATGGGTGGTATTGATTCTGTTTCACAGTTATGCGTGCTGTAAAAAGTGTTTTTATTTGACTAGCTATTTTTTCAATACAGTTATGTTTTAAGTTTTGTTTTGAGTGAATCGCCGTAAGTTAAATGTAGTGTTGTTAAAGGCTAGTCCAGGTTTAATATAAAGACAGCTATGTGACAGCATATACAGCTATATTCTTGCAGGAAAGCACTGCAGGTTGGAAAATGGCACAGAATGGGTGTTAAAGCGGGTCTATCACCACAAACCCATCTTTCTACAGTTGTTCTACTATTTTCTCTCTCAAAATATGTTCCTCTCTTCTTTCTTTCTTATCATTTTCTTGTAAAATACAAGGTAGACACTATTATGTCATTTGTATTTTTCCTATGATTGACAAAGGGTGGAGCTTAAGGCAAGCTCACTTCCATTGTCAAGATTTGTCAAGTTGCATTCTCCCACAATACTCACCTGTCCTTGACGTCCAGCTTTTCTAATCTTGAGATCCACCCTCTGTCATTCGCCAAGCGTTGTAAGGACTTAAATAAACTGTTGGCATGCATGGATTTTTGAGAAACCGCACGTGAAAGCAGTGCACTGCCAGAATTTTTAATATGGCAGCATGTTGAACATGAATAAGTTCAGAAAATATATACATATGGGTAACAATAAGGATATTAAAAGAAGAGGGGCATTAAAAAAAAAAAAAAAAAAAGTTTTCCCAGAGCTGTTTAAAAGGGGACAGTCAATTTAGCGAAATGAAGCAGTTATGGAATATAGATCATATCTCTACTTTCTCAATGTTCGATTCTGTGCTGCTTAGGAGATAAATCGCTCTGTTTATGCAGCCCTACCCCCACCTCCCTTGGTTGATTTACACAGCCTCTGTGAAAAATCTTTCATGTTTACAACACAGTGTGTTTAATTTAGACGTTAATATGTCCTGTTCTGTTAATTGAAAATTAATCACACACACTAGGCTGTTGCAGTCTCTAGTTTGCAATTAACAGAACAAGAGATAATACATTCTAAATTAAACACTCTGTGTAATAAAGGAAATGTAAAGATTAGGTCTCACTTTACAGAAAGTGTTTAGGATGGATGTATACATCACATGCAGGGAGGTGTGACTATGGCTGTATAAGCAAAGTGATTTAACTCGTACATGGCAGAGAATTGAGCAGTGAGATTGCAGGGGCATGATCTATACATTATAACTTCATTAAGCTAAAGTTGTTTTGGTCACAATAGTATCCCTTTAAGGCCAAAGTTGAAATGAAAGCATAGTTGGCTACGGCTTCAGAAACAATATGGTTTAACTCCTTAATGGCAAAGAATCGAGCAGTGACACTGCACCAAATCAGCTTCATTATACTAAAGTCATGTTGGTGCTAAAAATTTCATTTTTAATTTTAAAAGATAAGTAAATTAATAAATTATATTAATTAAAAAGCAAAACAAAAATCTTCCTCTATATATAAATGTAAGATACATGGTACGTACATTGATTGAATATCCACATTTACTCACTAAAATCACTGCCATTGCCTCCTGTGCATTGATACATTGTGCTCAAAAGCCTCCTTTGTCACAGTTCTCCAGTTCATATATTTCATTCATAAGCTTTTGCAATTAGCCTGCTTGTTCTCTAATCTTCCCAACTGACTTCCTGCGGGTCCATCTCCTTTTAACGCTGTAGCTAGATTAAGATTCCTCATTGCTCGCATGCTTTGGAAAGTATGCCACAATCCATTTTCCTGATCTAAATGTTCCACAACCGCAAATCCAAATTAGAACACACTTTACATGAAATGCCATGCTGATAAACTAAATTGATTTAGCTTGTGATGTATGTGTAGTTGTACCTGTATGTCTCAGATTCACATTCAGGTTGTGAAGCCTACATGATGGAGATTTCTAATTCTACCTATCTGCTTTACCATAATTTCTGGATACCCATTGACAGTGTGGGGTCTGGAGCCCGTTTGTCCCTGTCCCCAAGTGTCTGTTTTCATATCCATGGAAAAATAACCCTAAAGTTGATGTGCGTTAAAAGAGCTAAAGGTGTTAACACTCCAGGCAATCCATATCATGCCTGAGCATGCTGCTCAGGGAGTGCAGACATGTCCCAGAGAAGTGGTTATATACCTGCTAATGACCACCCCTTTGGGAAGCTCTTGCAGTCTCGAAGCAAAATGCACACTCACTAATCTATGCAGCTGATATATTTTTGCTCCCTTACAACAAGAATGCTCAAGAAGCCTTCCTGTTCTGAACTACACAGCTGTGGAATAACATACTATACGACATCAAATCCATGTAAAGAAGTGTCTCTCAGTATCTCTAATCAAGCCATGAATGTAATGTCTGCCAATGTGTAACTGATTTTTGAGACCATCACAGCATTTTTACTCACTACTTTGTTTTTAGTCTGTTCTGCAGGAGTGCAATTAGTCTATTCAAGAAATCTCATATTTGCGTAATTAGGTTTCATAAACAGCAGTGTCATACCCAATCAGAAACGCTGCTTATGCACAACCTTCTTGTGTACATTAAAAAAAAAATAAAGTGAATACTTATCTTTTTTAGAACAATTTGAGGTTTTCACATTGTAATTAAATTTGCTCAGCACAGCAGGCAAATGCAAATGTTCCAAGAGTTAATAACTATAGAAAAATAGTTTTGTAATATGATTTAGGTTGCTATTACTAAAATAGAGAACACACTGCAGACCGTAATCGGTATGCTTTGTTTGTGTGGCTTGCATTTATACAATGTGATGTCATGCAAATACCCAGACAAACACAAATTGAAACAGCAAAGGGTCTGTATCCCAAATGGCTACTAAATTGATAAAAGTTACATTCTGTACACAGAACCTAAATTGACTTGATTCTCTTTATGATCTGTTAACATGTTGTTTTTTTTTGTTGTTGTTTTTTTAAATTGGTTCAGTTAAAGAGTTGCTCCAAGCGTTATGACTACTTCACTGATTTGAAGTAGTCATGGTGCCTGGATTCTCTATGTGCAGCGTTTCACTATAAAACCCTGCACATACAGAGTTTAACCCATTTGTCATAGGGGCCTTATTAGCCAACCCAGAACAAGACTTCCAAACTGGCTAATGTCAATTTTGTGAATATTTCTACATACAGAATGGCATGCATTGGCTTAGAGTGGTCAGGTGAATGGTCAGTGGGGTTGGCAGAGTTGCCGAACCCAGATGGACATCATCAGCCCTCCAAGGCCCCCTGGCACCCATTGCCCAGGTAAGATAGCAAACCATTGCTAAATGGTTTTCTCATGACTAAGTACGGGTCCAGGGTACTCCCAACATCATAACCGCTACAGTGGGCTGTGGTGGTTCTGATCAGAGCCGCCATCAGAAGTTTTGAGGCCACTTACACAGGTCAACCAGTTTATTTGTTTACTTTATTTAATATGGTTCCCCCTTACCCATGCTCTTACTTCTGGCCAGGGAGGGGGGGGGGGGCACTATATTTCCTGGTGGCCCAGTGGTATTTGGAGGCTCCTGTAGGGTGCCTGTGCTTTGCTTGCCAGTCATGGCACAGGGCAACATGTAAGTGTTGCTGTGGTAACCACTGCAAAGCTCTGACTGCCAGGGCTCAGGATAGGACAGCCTCCTGGGCTCCCTCCTCTCCTTACATTTGAATGGCCATTGGAGTGATACTAAAAAACTTCCAGTTATTTAAATGTGCATAGGGATTTGGGCTAGTGTGCAGGTAACTTTTTTTCTTTGTATTTTCTTGTATGTATTGAGGCTGATGTGTACTATAATCATTGCTGCCACCCAGGAGTAGTGGCAGTTTGAGCGCAGTGATTCATTTTGCATGTTTATATTTGTTGTATTACACAGCCATCTTACTGTATTGCAGCCCATCCCACGTGTACTCCATACAATAAGAATAAAAGAAAAAAAAGTTAATTTCGCACTATCCAGTAACACTTCAATGGCCATTAAAGAATAACCCCATGTGTTCCCTATGAATGTTTTTTTTTTGTTTTGTTTTTTTTGTTTTACATAGTTATATAGCTGAAAAGAGACTTGCGTCCATCAAGTTCAGCCTTCCTCACATTTGTTTTTTGCTGTTGATCCAAAAGAAGGCAAAAAAAAAACAGTTTGAAGCACTTCCAATTTTGCAACAAACTAGGGAAACAATTCCTTCTTGATCCCAGAATGGCAGTCAGATTGATCCTTGGATCAACAGCTATTACCCTACAAAAAATATAACCTTGAATATTCTGTTTTTGCAAGTATGCATCTAATTGCTGTTTGAACATCTGTATGGACTCTGATAAAACCACTTCTTCAGGCAGAGAATTCCACATCCTTATTGTTATTACAGTAAAAAAAAATAAAAAAAAAATATATATTTTCTTTTCTTTCTTCCAATCTAAACGCATGACCTTGTGTCCTATGTAAAGTCCAGTTTGTGAATGGATTTCCACACAATACTCCTTGGTTTTGCACCCCTCCCTGTCACAGGTGCCTCATCCCAGGGCCCTATTTGGCCTTGTACTGCAGAGAGCCCCAGATGGAATTTTTTTTCCCAAGTGGGTGGGTTGATCTCATAAGAACAGACATTAGGCTGTTAGTTTAGGACCTGCCAAAGATGGGGTACATTGACGTTGAGGCAGGCTTATGCAAGGTATGATCATATAATGTAACTAAACCCCCATTATTTTTGCCTAGATTAGGTGTATAAAAAAATCTTTCAACATTGAAGTTGCTGTTTAGTGGATAGGTGAGTGCGCTGGATCTTGTGTATTTTTATATATATATATATATGTGTGTGTATATATATATTTATCTGATGCATTTTACAGCTTTAATAGGGAGTGTTTTAAAACTGACTTAGTCTACTAATGTATATGGAGTGAGGGAATCTTGATCCTACATATAATTTAATGCTGACTTGGCTATATAGACTGATGCCATTCTTTCTCTTCATATAGTTGTTCACTGATGTCGAAAATAAAGATGCATGCCAACTGTTTGAGCAAGGCTACCGCACGTCTAACAAACAAGAAACCCACACCCTGGAAGCTGTGAAACTGGTGGAGTTCCGATTAAAGCAAACACTTTCAAAACTAATTATTTATTTATTTGGTGAAGGTACGTATACACTTACATTTCTTGTATTTATTTTGCACTTGAGATATATGTATGTGGCACATGAGTCTTGAGGTGATGGATTCTGTATGACTGTAAACCGGAAAAACTCATAACTACTATTATATTGAGACAGATTCCAGTTTCCCTATGCTTTATTTCTCATTATTTATTTCTTTATTTTTATGTCTCTGTTGAAAAGGAGACACATTCAGATTTGTAGCTTTGTTGGCAATGTTCCTTTAAAGTCAATGATCAGAGGTTTTGTTGGTATTTCTGCTCCTTAATAAAGGTTTATCATGATTTTAAAGCAGACTTGACGTTCACAAATGTGAGAATAATCTGGTTTACATCAGGCAGGTGTTAAAATTTAATCTATATATTACGCTAATGGAATTGCCAGCAGATGCATGAAATAAATGTTTCATCTTGTTTAACAAATATTTGGGATAATTTGGTAACTGCGTTTTGACGTTTTAATGAAAATGATTTATATTTTCTATGTAGTTTACTCATCTAGGAGTTTGAGAAAGTGCATGCCATTAGTTATATACATTTATTGTAGCATTTACATAATATTAAAGGGTTACTCCACACATCATGATCACTTTAGTTATTTGAAGTGGTATTGGTGCCTATGCAGTTTTCTATGAAAAGGTGCACATATGGAATTTAACTGCTATGCTGTCAGAGGTGTACCTCCACGTCCGGCAATGTAATTGGGTGTTTTCGGCATGGAACTAGAGTGCAGCATCTGAGTTCTATGGAGAATCCCTACTTTGTCTTATGGTATCTTTAGAATTATCAGTATTTCATAAATAATTTAGCTTTATGGAATACTGAAAAGTGACAGATCTGTTTTAAATTCTTTATTTGAGTATTTACGTTCTTTTTATTAATTTTTTCTTCATAGCAATAGAAAATATGCTAACTCCATAGTTCGGAATAGATCGGCAAGTGTTTGTGTCATGATATATACCTTCTCAGCTATAAAACCTCAGATAAACCAGCTGGCTGGTCTTAATTTGCTAGTTAAATAAAAGGGTTGCTTGTTCATGTTTTAAAGATACTGTACATAACAACATGATTAATGGGCAGTGAATGTCATAGATACTCGGTTATAAATATAAAATAATTAAAAATAATAGTATTAATAGTAAGGGAGAAACAATAGTACACACAATTTTAGTGATACACATGTTTTTGACATATCAATCTCTTCACTGATTAAATATTTTCAATAAAAAGTGTAACACATATTTGAAACCTGGAATGGATAGCCAACACACACACTAAGGGCACAACAGTCTTTCGTATAGCTTTATTTATGTGGTTGAAGTGGTTCTGTCATTCAGAGAAAATAGTGTTTACATTACAGCCTAGAGCAGGGATAGGCAACCTTTGGCACTCCAGATGTTGTGCACATAAAGCATCATGGGAGGTGTAGTCCAAAACATCTGCAGTGCCGAAGGTTGCCTATGCCTGGCATAGGGGATACCTCCTCTGGCCACTCCTCAGATAGCTACTAGAGGTGCTTCCTGGGGCACTGTTGCATAGTGTGCAGTACTGACATTGTGTCTCCACCATCTTCATGAAGATACTGAACTTTCCTCATAGAGATATATTGATTCAATGCATCTTTGTGAGGAGAATCTGATTGGCCAGGGTTGTGTTTGGCTTGTGCTGACTCTGCCCCTGATCTGCATCCTTTCCAAGCTCAGCCAATCCAATGCTTTCCTATAGAAGAGAGCCAGCAGCTGCAGACTGGAATAAAGGTTAGATTTTAATATATTTAGGGGTGCTAAGTGGCAGGAGGGGGGAAGTTGAGGAGGGGTGCAGGGGTTCTAGATAGTGTTATATATAGGGTCAGGAATACATGTTTGTGTTCCTGACGCTATAGTGTTGCTTAATTTATGAAAATGCCAATATCTATTGGATTCTGCACTCTTTGTAATATCTGCACTTTGTATGCTCACACTTAAAGCATTTCAGGAAGCTTGGAGGGGCGGAACCTGCTACCAGACCTGTGTGGACGCCATTTCTGTCAGCTCCCAAATCGCAAGAACTAAATCCATGCCAAATCAGTTTTTCCCGCACCCATCCAGCCCTGCCACCAGCGCAGCATACCGCACCCTCTGATGCCTTTTTTTCAGCCAAGAAGGCTGCAGAAACGGAGACGCAAGATCGGGGTCTACCACGCGCCATCGATCCTCTGCCTCGAGGAAATCCTGTGCGGACACCCGACGAAACTCAGGGACACCAATTATCCGCAGGAACAACCCGACACCCTTGCTCATACGCCAGCCATGGGACGCTGCTCCCAAAACCACAAGGTACACCTGGAGACAGGGATATAGGGGCTATTCTACAAAGGCCCATTGATTTTAAGCCAGCTGCCATGGCAACAATGCCAGAGCTAGCCCAGACACCCACTACAGCTCAGCAGAGCCCTGATCTGTCTGGATCACTTCAGACACGACAGCTGGACAAAGCACCCAGTACAAGTCAACGAGGTCCTGACCCCTCTGAGCACCCCCAGACACCACCACCTGAAAGGCCGCAAATCCAGACAAGACAAAGCTCTGACTCTTAGTGGCACCCCCGGGCACTTCGACATGACAGGGCACACAACCCAACACAGCACAGACCTGACTCACCCGGGCACTTACAAGAGCCGCAGCCACCACCACCGGAGTTCACGGATGACTCTGCTCAGACTACCAAACGCGACCTCACAATCCTCTTAGCAGACATCCACAAACTCCTGGCAGCTGACTCGGCCCTCCTCAAGACTGAACTACACACAGTCACAGAAAGGGTGAGAGCCACGGAGGACAAAGTGGTTCTAGTCCACGCTCACATGAACCAGATGAAAGAAGCTATCAAACAAATCCAGTAACAAAGCACACTTGTCAATCAAAATGTCAACCGTGGAAGACTGGCAATGCCGCTCCCACATAAGAATCCGGGGCATGCCCATGACGATATCGACTGAAGAGCTACCGCATTACATCAGGTGCCTACTAACTACAGTGCTTCCACACACACTGGTAAAGAAAATCATCATTGATGGGGTATACCGCTTGCCTAGTCCTCCACACCTAAAGACCCCAACAGCCAGAGATGTCATCCTCAGATGTGTCACTGTGCAAGATAAGCTACACATAATGGCGGGGTGGCAGGGCAAGACACCATTGACATTTAAAAAACTCCTCACTAACGTTCTTCCAAGACCTATCAAAAGCCACCCTTATGTGGCACAAATCCTATGGACTGCTCACCACACAACTACAATCTGCAAACCTAGCCTACAGATGGGGCGCTAACAGGACTCTAGAAGTCACCCATGCCATGGCAACAATGCTGGAGCTAGCCCAGACATCCACTACAGCTCAGCAGAGCCCTGATCTGTCTGGATCACTTCAGACACGACAGCCGGACAAAGCACCCAGTACAAGTCAACGAGGTCCTGACCCCTCTGAGCACCCCCAGACACCACTGCGTGAAAGGCCGCAAATCCAGACAAGACAAAGCTCTGACTCTCAGGGGCACCCCCGGGCACTACGACCTAACAGGGCACACAACCCAACACATGTTCTAACCTCCGTGGAAGAAGCAACACCCCCCCTACCACTCTGGGACTGTCTAACTCCACGAATATGCCACAGGCCAGACCTCATGGGACCCTGAGAAAACCATCCAGTTTGAACCAAGACCCAGCGGATCACAACACCCTGTACCATGAGTAGTGTGGACTGATACCACCAGTTCTGCCAACACACCAGTTGCATACCTTTCATGTTGATAGCCCAATGTTTATTTAGCTACTCTTTATTCTTTATTGATTTCTTACATTATATCTGTAACGGCACCCCCAGGCATTAAAAGGGTTAAACCGCCGTTTAGAGGATATTCCCCTGCCAGATATACAGGCAGCTATTGTAGACACCAATCCACCGAACCGGAGAAGCATATGAATGCCGTAAACAGCCGAACCGGAACCATACGAATGCTGTAAACAACAGAATATGAAAAACCATATGAATAGGTTTACATTCCTAGCAGTCAAACTGGAACAGCATACAATAAATCCCCCCAAGAACGAGACAAGGCTCCGTTTTGTGGGTCAAGCAGGAACAGACAGAGCTGTGGGTTTATTGTTCTTATAAACACATTCTTACACATTAGTACTACCCACAGGGTTTTGGAAAACAACCAATAAAGAGGCACAATACACTCAGATACTCCCACGCAAAATCCTCCCCTCTACACAATGGGTAATGTAATTATCACAGGCAGAGAAATACAGTTTTTCCACGTTATTCATAATTTTAAAAGTATGCATCACATTCACATAAAACTTACATTCAAAATCAGCATACTCCAAATACAAACATACGTCAAAATCATCCAAATTGGTCCAGTGGTTCAAAAGATAGATCATAGTCCTTTGTGACCAAATGAAGCATGGCTTTTCTGCCCAAAACCAGTTCCACAGAGTCTTCTATCCTGGAGATAATTATCCAATTATCTCCAAGGACAGAGGCAAAACTCCATTGAACACATGGCAGAAAAATACCATAAAACACATAAAAACATACAACTGTGCAGCCATTGCACAAAACAGGTACATTCAACATATCCCCAGGTAGCTCAGATCTGAGCACACATTATTACTGAATGGTGCTCAGATCACACACATAAAGTTCAATTGCCATGGAGTCAGTCTTTCCCATAGTCTTTCATTATACGAATGGGCTCCATGGCATAGCTATCTGGGGTATCACCGCTCAAACAGGGCAAGCACCAAATGACCCGCCTTTCGTGTGTTTGCAGGGGAAAATCAAGCATTTCAACATGGGGCCATAGTCTAAAGGCAGCAGGCGGGCAACCAGGCTCATCCAATGCACAGTGGCGAGATTGGTCTCGTCACAATATCTCTGTTCTACCACCACAAGTCCACGACTCACTAACCCTATTTTAAAGGGAGTCCAGGCTTGTTAACTCTACAAGAGCCAGCATGTCACGCGCCCAAACACTTGGCGTCTATAAAACCAGCACCCCTGGTGCCCCCTTTAAAGGTAATCAATCAATCTAGATGCATCACTCACAACAAAACATGACCCTCCAATATAGCATACAGACTCCCTCAACCAGCACAGTACAAAAAGCCAGACTAACATACATGATTTTAATTCAATCCAGGTACACTATAACTTAAACAACTCCTCACCGCACATACGGAGTGCCAACACCATCAGACCCACAATTCACATGTGCTGCCACAGTACACCATTTCTAACACTAAACACAAGGGTACACAACACATCTGTATAGAAAATTACCAGATTTTACTAATTACATGACGTAAAGTCATGATTTTATAAAGGACACGGAGGCGAGTATTAGGCTTATCTCTTTCTTTTATTCCTCAGCAGCAAAGAAAGCTAAGGTGTTTATTTGTAGAAAAAAACATACATAAATACCCTCACAGGGTTAACCTTACATCATTATCTCTTAACCAATAGGAACAGTCCATCTCTGATATCCTCTCATGTAACCTCCTCCTCTTCCTCTTTCTTGATGATGCCGAAGCGAACAAATCACCATTAGTATGTAACAAAATTCGTTATAACCAAAACCCACAAACGGTTGACAACTGGATACTTGACGTTGAAGTTGAATCCGTCCACAAATAACGCGGGATCTTCCGAAACTGATCCTCTCAAAACTGCGAGATTATTTCTCGTCATCAGTGGGTATCTTTTAGCTGTGTTTCAGGCTGGAAAGACAAAGAAAACAAATGGTAAAACGTGTCCTTGCCAACTATTTTCATCTTACTATGGTATTAAAAGGTGAGCTGTTTATGTAATCAATCATATATTAAACATGCAATCATTCCTTGTTTGATAGATTTACCATAGCGTAACACATATACCTTATATCAATGATAACTCATTTAACGAAAAAAAGTCCCTATTACGTACCTGGGTTGGGATACAAATGTTTTGTTGTATCTGCCCTGGGTGGGCTACTACTCGCCTCCGTGTCCTTTATAAAATCATGACTTTACGTCATGTAATTAGTAAAATCTGGTAATTTTATTAAAGGACACGGAGGCTCCTATTAGGCTAGTTTAAAGCTGTGCAATAACTAAACTTGACACATGTTCTGTAGGTCGAAAGTAGTATTCCTTAAATGTCGATGCCCTAGACCAGTCTGCTGTTTTCATGATATCTTCCAATTTACAACCTAAATTAAAAGCCTTTGAAGCCATGGCCCCCCTGGTAGAGTGTGCACCATATATAGTTGTATCTATGTGGGCTAAGGCCATTATCCATCTCACCCATCTGACGAGAGTTACCGTGGATACGGGATGGTGTGGTTGTTTGATAGCTAAAAACAATTCCGGGTGCCTCGGGTTTCTGAATTCCAGGGTCCTTGTCTCGTATTCCTTCAAGCAAACCACCGGGCAGAGTTTACGGTTATGCGGGAATGCTGGATACGAAACTGAGGTAATTGATGACTTTGTACGTCTGGAGATGTTGAATGAAACCCCCGTGGGAGTAAAGGATCTTGCATCAACGTCCAACGCCCTGACGTCTGACACTCTCTTACAAGAGATCAAGCAGAGGAGCATGACTAGTTTTGCTGACAGTTGTTTCAGTGTGAGTGTCTCATTGTGTGGCCAAGTTTCTAACAGTTGTAAAACTGAGTTGACGTCCCATAGAGACGTGTATCGGGGTTGCGGTGGACGAGCAAACCGAATACCTCGAAGGAGACGGCATACCAATTGTTGTTGGCCCACTGGGGTCCCATCTATTCCCCGGTGTCCCGCTGAGATTGCAGACCTGTACACGTTGATGGTGCGATAGGCCAAACCTTGATTGTATAGGTTGGTAAAGAAACGCAACAGGTAATTTATAGGAGCACATATGGGATCCACCTGCTGTTCCATGCACCAACTACTCCATCCGTTCCAGGCATAGAGGTAGGAGCGTCTCGTTCCAGGCGCCCAAGCTCCTGCCAGTAGATCGATAGTTTCCTGTGGAACCTCTGGGACGCTCCATGGTCCCCTGAAAGCAACCGTGCTAAAAGTTTGAGTTGCCCCTGTACCAACAGGGGGTGTGGTTTGCCCTCTGGATCTGCTAAAAGGTATGAGACGTCTGGTAAGTGTCTCGGCAGGTCTATAGACATCTCCATGAGTGTGGGGAACCACGGCTGAGCTGTCCAAAACGGGGTTATGAGGACCAATGACGTTTGAGTCCGCCTGAGGTGCACCAGTGTTCGAGCTATGAGGGAGAACGGAGGAAATGCATACAATCTGTTGTGTGGCCAGTGTTGGAGAAAAGCGTCCGCTGCCAGGGCGTCTGGATCCGGCCTCCAGCTGAAGAATGTTGGCAATTGGGAGTTCAAACGAGACGCAAAGAGATCGATTTGCATCGGGCCCCAGAGCGTCTGAAGTCGTAAGAACACACTGCGGTCTAGCCGCCAGTCGCTGGTGTCTCGCAGATGTCTGGAGTACCAGTCCGCCACTATGTTGGACATGCCCGGGATGTACTCCGCTTGTACCGAAATATTGCGTGCCAGGCA